TTGGTGTTATAGTCTCTAAAGATCTTAAATAAAGCCTCGACGTCCAAGCCGTCTCAAATAAGGCCAACAAAATGTTGGGGTTCGTGAAAAGATCGTGTTTTCATGCAAGTGACCCTAAAGTACGAAAGACCCTGTATTTAGCCCTAGTAAGAAGCCAGCTTGGTTACTGTAGCCAAGTGTGGGCACCCCAAACCACCCATGATATTCAAACCCTGGAACGAGTTCAGCGTCGCAGCACGAAGTTTATTTTATCTCTTCCATTTCAAACAGATATTTCATATCCTAAAAGACTCGCTAAACTCAACATTCTTCCAATTACCTACTGGCATGAATACCTGGATCTTGTTTATCTATTCAAATGCATTTATGAAAATTCCGACAAAAATGTGAAACTAAATTCATCAAATCGTGTAACCAGATGCTCTAGTTCTACATCAGGACTCTTTCTTCAGATTACCAAATCAAAAACAGTAACCTTTCAAAACAGTTTTTATATCAGAGCATGCAGAACGTGGAACACTCTACCAATATCTTTAAGAAACTTAACTTTATTGTCTTTGTTTAAACGTTGTCTATTTAATTACTATTTTTTATTAACTTCTAATGTTTATAACCCAGAATTGCCGCACACATACAAGACTGTTTGTGTCAAATGTCACAAAGCCCGTCCTTTGGATTCACTCAGTGACACTCTATGCTGCTAGTGCCCTTTCTTTATATTATGTGACAACTTTTTTGTTGTTTTTGTTGTGATGCACTATTTAGTGTTTAACTCTTGTATACAACTCATGCGGGGGACCCGTTATTGGAGCTTCGGCTCTGTGGGGTGCGCCCTTCCTGTTTTTGGGTAAATTAAATAAATAAATATGAAATAGAATAGGAGTAAGGCCCTGTTTACATGAGACCGGAACAAAGTCAAACTGGTCATAGTATTATTTATAATAAATGTTTGCATGAGACCGGGACAAAAATGACTGAGACTGATCTCAAGTCATTCTGCCTGCTGGACTGAGCCGACTGACTTCAGACCGGCATGAATTCAGACCGGAATTAATGTAAATACAAAATACATTTCAGACCGGTCTCGGCTGTATCCTTGACATTGGAACAACACATGCTAACAAATTCCATCTAAAAAAGAAATTAAATTGCCTGGCAAGGGGAATAAATTGAACATTTTGTGATTTTCATACCAGTCTCATGTAAACATTTCAATTTTCATTCCAGGTTGATTTCGTCTCATGTAAATGGGGCCTAATACTGTTATTGGTTCTATTATTCTTTGATTCCTAGAACTGAAGTGAGAATTAGTAGTGTCAGTTCATTGAAATAATTTAACTACAGCCGTACAGGCATTAACCTGCAGGAAATGTGCATTAGCCTTCTAAAAGGTATTAAAGCAGGAATGACAGATGATATAACTGTAGAGTTTGAGTCATGGTAAAGTTTAAGGCCTGTCATCCTTACAGCCTTATGATTTATACACTTAAATTCAAAATCCTATTGTAAATTTACACTTGCATGTAGTCATTGTACATTAAACATTGTTTATACATTATAATTTGTACTAATACTGACTAGCAGATAAAAACTAGAGAATTTCCTTTTTTAAACTATACTTACTGGAGAACCTAGTTGCTGAGCTTGTTGTCCATACTGAAGTGTTGTTTCTTTTGTACGCAAGTTGTTTAGAACTGGAACATATGGGTAAGTTCGGCTATGCCCACGACCAACAGCTACTACTTCACCCTCACATTCACAGAATGAACAACCATTCTTTCCATTAAACTGCGGATTTGCCTGGTACATCTGCAGTTCCTACCAAGCAAACTAAACGGCATACAAGGTTTTCAACATTTGAGGACACAGGTACACCTACAAGTAAAATGTATATACAAGAATAATAAATATCTTTGACTGAGCAGGCTGAAAAGTTAGTGTGACCACCCATGGGAATCGATTCCTACCGTGGTCAGGCTAACTTTTCAGCCTGCCCGGTGTGGATATTACACTCAGAGTAACATCAAAACACACAAAAATATATCTATACAAGCAATATTTATACTAGATTACTGCTGTGCTTAAATATAATAAAGTAGGGCATTGAGAAGAAGTGCGACTTGGCAACACTTATTGTAATTGTAACCAGATAGTAGATACTATAATTACAGGTAATGTACTACCTGCAATTGTTAGCACATTAAGATTCTTCCCTTGACAAGTAAGAGTGTCTTGCAAAAGGCACTCACAGAGTGAAATTTATTGATAACAGGTCAGGTTGGGTTAATGATTGGCATGGCAGTTAATGAACACAACTGATAAATTCCTGCATCATATTAAAAGTTTGATCATTTTTAAATAATAAAGATATGTATTAGAGAGTATACAGTACTCACAGTATACTGATCCAATACAGATATTTGACCTTGCAGGATCATGTATGGTTTTTTTTCCAAAAGCATCTTGAGGGTGCAATGTACCTATTAGTGACTCACCACACTCAATAGGTGTACTACTAGACACATTGGGCAGATAGGTCAGTTAACCCATTAAGCACCAGCGCTGACTCCCCTTGACAAGTAAAATGAAGGGTACATTTCTGTCACTGTTGCGGTGGGTGCCTTTTGAGTTGGGGGCCCAGGACAAAATGCCCCCTGCCGCCACCTCCCCCTCTTAGCGGCCCTGCATATATACAGGTAATAACATATTACTTACCATTCAGTTTAAGATTATTAACTTGGGATCGGAATGGAGCTAAAAAAGTTGGCATTGATGGTTTTTTTGGTCCAAACCAAATACTTGCAAGTACCATCCTCTTGGTGCTAAGCCTGTGAATTGCATAAAAATACATTTGAAATAATTATGAAATTATTATTAATCAACCCCCTAAGTGGCAACATACGCCCACTGATGCACCCTACTTTATTATTTTACTCTGTCTAACACCAGATTATTTTACTGTCTAAAGCCAGACAATTTAATTTATTTGTCAGGGGGGAGTACGTGCCCCAGAGGAGATAAACTGTTGTTTACAAATAAGGGCGATTACAGATAAACATTGTCTATTCTCACAAGAAATTCAATTTCATGTTAATTTACTGAGAAAGCTAGTTCAATGTTTGTAAGGAGCATTTCAAGGTTTCAATAACTCAGTCAATCAGCTTGGAGCAGGTTAAATGTGATTGGCAAATTAGATTAGAACTAAACTGAATGTCAGGCCTGTATTGTTTTTAATTAACCTGGCT